CCCCAAAACCCCAAAACCCCAAAACCCCAAAACCCCGTTGCAGCATCAATTAGAAAATGAGTGAGTTAATGTTAAGTAAAGTATTGAAGTTAAAAATGATAAACTTAAAGTTATTTCCATTGATTCAGTTTCTACTAATTCAATCATTTCACCAATATTTAAAAGATCTAGTAGGACTATAGTTAGTTGATGGTGCTTTTCTCTCAAAAAATCTATAAATTAATAAAAAAATTATTATTTACTGCAAAGTTTGCATGGATTAAGTCTTTCTCAATGTTTCAAGGGTAGATTGTTATTCTTTTCTCAGTGTTTCATATAAGTAAGGATCTGGAATGATAGACCCTCCAGTCATGCTTACAGCCTAATCAAGGTCTAGTGGTCTAATTCTTTATCTTGGCATAAGACCTTTGTAGTTAGCCATGTATGAAGTTGAAGCTGGATCTGTGGTAATAACTTTCCCAAGTATGTTCATATTTCCTTTCATCAACTACTGCTTGATTTCGGCTGGTGTGACTCCAACATATTTGCCAGAGCCCTACTGATTTCTTCTGAAAAGAGTAGGCTGTGAATATTCCCTCATCAATTTATTATAGTTGGTATTGTGCATGTTTTTGTGAGTTTCTTTTTTAACTGCTATTTCAATAGTATCGAATCTGGAAGGATTGATTAGTTCATGCTTCTGTGCCCAGTAGTGCTTTTCTGTATAAGTAGAGACTTTAGGTTGAAGATTTTTTAAGAATGTATAGAGATTTCTAAGTACAACAATCACCATACTCACATAGTAGTTATCATCTTTCAAGTAGGTCCAGTTTTCTATGTAACTTATCGCCTGTGGGTTAAGATGACTTACTATCTTTAGTTCACTCAATCTTTTATACTTGAGAATTTCTGCCTCACCTGCACTCAGGTCATGATATCTCCCAAAAAATCTCTCATATGTGCTGCCATACATCATATTTTTCTTAAATTCTTTGACTTTTTCTGGACTAATCTCAAATTGATGAATGCTGAGAATAATACCTCATATGAGTGAAATCCATTGAAAGGGCTGCCTCTATTTCAGGCTTAGGTCTGGGCTTGAACTTCTTCTTTCCCTTATATTTCATGATAGCGTTAATAATCCTAAGACCCTACAGATAGCTCATCAAATAATTTTAATTTTACCTATTTATCTCTGAAAGTCAGTTCATTAGCCCACTCTTCAGCATATCCAGCATATGAAGGTATCAGTATCTATGTTAAAAGCTAAAATAGGATGTTTAGAATCGATTTATAAGGCTACATGGATATAATCAATAGTATTGTTTTCTGTCATTTTAATTAAAATAAAATAAAATTATCTCAATATTATAATTTTCTAATTAAATTAATCAATGGAAGGAAAAAATGCTTTCTGTATTAAATGCGCAATGCCTCTTATTTAGTTGCCAAATCCCCATAATTGCATTGAAGAGTTTAACAGTTAAATAAACATTCTGGACAGAGTTTCAAGAGATTACAGAGAATCAGTATAATAGCTGGAAAGAGTCTAGTAGGATTTAAATAGTAACATTCAGGAAATAGAAAGATTGGATGGAAATATAGTGTCTAACAAAGAAAGGATTGAGCAGAATACTCTGAGAATTCAAAAATTGAAAGATAATGTGAAACTGAAATTAGGCTAAAATGTTCTGGATTAAATAGAAAGATAATTAAGCGGCTTATGATTTATAGCTTAGTATTTACAATTATTAATTTCGATTAAGCAACAATATTTATTTCATTAGCATTCTTGCAAATGAGGTAATTTTATGATATGGGGTTTTGGGGTTTTGGGGTTTTGGGG